CCCCCCCCAGCCTTCAGGAGAAGCTTTTCCCCTCAGGTTGTGTGAACTTCATTCCGGTGATGAAAAACAACGTGGTTCAGAGCCCAAGCGGGGGAAAAAACCGAAAATACAGACCGCGATCCCGATGTCAACGTCGTCTAAGTAAGGATAAATTCAGCCAGGCTTTGGTACAAATGCACGGGGTGAAAACAGGAAAAAAATCCTCATAAAATTCTTCAGGTTGCCTAGTTAAGCCCAGTAGCAAGAGAACTCCAAAGTGTGTGTTTTCAGGCAGCTCCTGCTGCCATGTAGTTCCTAATGACCCCCAAATTGCTCCTGCTTTCCCAGGGCAATGTGGCATGTGCAGGTTCCAAGGCAAATCTCCCCCTCTCTCAACTACATCCCTATATCCCATTGCCCATTTCCAGGTTAATTCAGTCCAGCCACAGTACTGAAGGGATTTGGGGTTACTGTTGTGACCCAGGTGCCTGGGCCAGGGGAGTGAAGGTCTGGGGCTCCCACAGGTCAGACTTCCAAAAAAGGGGGGTTTTTTTGGTATGAAATGTGACCAAGAACTACTAGAACTATCTCTTGCCATTCCCACACATTCCATAATGACCAGTTAGCCCTTTCGCCGCTTTATACTCCCTCAAATGAAGTTAATGTAAAAAACGTCATACTGCCAAGGATATAAACCCCAAGGGTCTCTCAATGCCTGGCTTGCAGGCAGCTCACTTTCAACTTTCCTCATCTATATGTGAGAATGAGGAAACCGACATTATCATGGAATCCCATGAATTCAGGAATTTGGCCTTGGAGAAAACTGTAAAATCCTTTGAGCTGCATGATGGAGTAATGAGGAATCTCAGAATGAAAACTGCTCCATTTTCCAGCAAACAGAGCTGTTGTTGATTTTGGCAGCAGAGCTGCCATATGCTAAAAATATACCAGTTTCATTGGTCATACCCATTGCAAAGGTCTCAACCAAAGAAGAGATCTGAATTTATGAGATAAAAATTATGTTTGAATTATTTTTATCCATTTCTGAGTCTCTTGGTTGTGCCATGGGTTGCACTGTCACATTAGATGTGCACACTTGTGTTCTCCATTTGCTCATCGATCAACTGGCACAAATGGAGAGTCGGGAACACAGCTCCCCCGGGGTACCAAAACGCATGGGATAGAACAGAAGGAGTCAGGGACAGCTGCTGCTTGAAGCAGGACATGGAAAATGTCCCTCTGTAGGGCCTGGGGCAGGGAAATTCCTGTTGCTACTGCTGTTGGGAGGTTTCTCACTGGAGTTAGAGTTTGGTGTCCTGGGGAACACTTTTCTGGTTTTAAACTTTAAAATTACAATTCATAGTATGCTTCATAGTATACACGGTTTCTGCTTTGAGTGTGTCTCATTAAAAAAAATTAAAAATGAGCCCCAAAAATAGCCAAGGAAGGTCTTTCCTACTGATTCTAATTTAATTGGCACAAATGAAGGAGAATCCAGAAATAAATGTTTGGCCACAACAGCAAACCAGCAGAAAACCACAGGACACATTAAAGCTGGGAACTCCTAGTACTAAGAAGAGGATTCTGTTCTAAGAAAAAAATTACCCCAGAGTGTGGGTTCATGTTGGAAAAGGAGCTGGTTTCGCCTATGTGAATGAAACATGTTCACACAGGGTGCTTGAGAGGCATTTCCTCCTAGACTAGAGTTACTTCAAATAAAATAATCTAGTAATGACTGAGGAGCAGCCAGCCAGAGCTCCTTGGCATTGCTTTGGTGAAGCACTGGTATCTTCTGGCCATTTGTGAGGGGCTTGATCACATCCCTGTCCCTGGGAATGTTGAGGACATGCAGGAATCATGTTTAAATAGGAATCTGAGGCTGGAAGGGAGCTCCTGGCTAATGGCATATTGAAACTAAGGCATCCCTGCAGCAAGTGTCTTTCTGAACTCATTTCAGAATCACATCTGTGTCTCTCAGCTTCATCACCATGATGAGTCATAATTATTCTGCTTAAAAGTGTGCTGTGGTGTTTCTTCTACGCTCCATGTGTTTTGAGTGAGCTCCCATGTCACAGCAAAACCTGACTGGAATGGATTGGATAATTTGTGTTCCTGGAAACTAAAAACATCTTTAGTCTGTTCTTTCATCAGCATCACTGTTGGAGGATCCACACCAACAGCTGTAGGATCAGCCTTGAGAATTCAAGTCTTGCCCTGTTTTGTGTAAGTCATAAGTCATTTAAGAACGTAATTGAGCGGTGACTTTTTAATGCCAAATGGTGGCTGTGCTCACACCTCCCATACACACCCACCCCATACTCCCACTACAGTCGTGTGGCTCCAAAAGCTTCTGGTGTTAAATTCTGTGTTTGGGGTGTGCCTTGAAGAACAGACTTGTGGAGATAAGAATGTTTTCTCTGATGATCTACTGAGGGGTATTTCCATCTCAGTAATGTAGCACTGAGGGCAGGGGGGGAGGTTGCTGTTGATGAAATCTCTTACATTAATATACTACACAAATTAATGAGCTTTTTCCTGAGAGAGCCCTTTATTTCCCACAATCATCCACAGTTCCTCCTTGTTCATATCCCTGCACGGACCACATCATTCCTCTGCAAGCAACAGGAGGAATGGAAGGAGGAAGAATATTAACCTCTCTCTGCTCTGAGGCTCTGGATCGCTGGAGGCTTCAATTGCTGCAGAATTTCTGCATGAATATTAATCATTCTCACTACAAAGAAAACTCCCAGAAAAGCAAAAAATATTCCCTAGAACAAAGTGAGGAATCCCGGAGAAGATGGGAATAATCAAATGCCCACAAAAACAAACTGGTTAAATTTGGGAATTCTCACGTGCATCTCAATGCCAGTTTCTTAAGTGCTTTAGTAAACTTCTCAAATCAGTCTTTCTCCTCTCTCCAACTCACCTGGATTTCTAATGGTGTGGGAAATGTGCTTCCACTGGGAATCAAGCAAGTCTGGGCCGAAGTTAGGGCTGCCTGGGAGCGGGCAGCACTCGGGGCTGCTGTTCTTGGATGTATGTTGCTGTCAACCCGTGCGTGCACTGCACGGGAGCCGGGCACTAGCACGCTCCTGCAGAGCCCGGGTGATTCCTCCTGTGCCACGTGCGGAGCAGGGAAGGGAAACAGCTCAGAAATTGCAGTTCCATGGAAAGCTCCCGACGGCTGTTCCGTACGAACGCATTCCCAGTCCTCCCGGTGAACTCGGCTTGCAGAAGCTCTGGGAGAACGAGCACTAGAGGGCAGAACGTGACCAGCGACGGGCGCGGGCTTTGGCGAGGGGGAAGCTGGGCCCGGCGGTCTCTGGGCTGCCTTTCCCCCCGTGAGAGTCCAAGTGACTCCTTAAAATGGCACCTTTCTGGTTCTTCTAGGTAGAAGAGTGAAAAGAATTTTGTTAAGCACGGGAAGGAATCAAAGACAGATAATACAGGAAATCCGTGGTTGGAATTGACTGAACTTGGTGGGTTTATGCTGTTCTTTGCACTTGGTACCGTGGAAGTTTGATGATGACAAACTTTCCTGATTCATTTCTGATCCCTCTTGCTGCCTCCCAAGAAACCAAGATTTCCCAAGATAGCTTTTCCTTCCTATGACTTGATTCCTAGAAAGCTGGAAGGAAAAACTCGGGAAGGAATAGCCTTTCCATTTCCTTCTGATTTCATTTCCCTGTATCTCCAGTAACATAAATAATTTTATAAGTGACATTATATATTAATAAAACATTTCCAGAAAACATATATTGAAAGCACGAAGCCCTCAGGATCCTCTGCCCAAACAAACTCCTTCCTTCCCTCTCTCTCTCTCTCTCTGTGTTTCAGTGAGCGCTCCAGCAGCCTCATTGTTTGGATAATTCAGGGTGCCAGATGGCTGTAAATATGTTCACAACCCTCCTTACCCTGCTCCCTCCTCCCTGGCACCCTCAATGCTCTACCCAGTACCGAGCACCTGGTCTGTTCCCGTTTGGAGTCTCCCTTCTCCCCTCTGGAGCTAAACTGGCACTGCTGGTTTGTATTTTCCCTTTAAATGAAGTGGGAAAATCTTAGGGAATGTTTTGTGCCAGGGAATACTGAATTCTTCCTTCGCTCTCACTTGCACCATCAGTTAATTGAAAATGTGCCTCCTGCCCTGTGGCATCAGCCTTCTTCCTGCAGGAATCCTGTCCCTGACATAGGAAGATGCAGCTCACCTGCAGCGAATCATGAGGGAGGAGCAGCTGCTTCCTATTTTGAGTGCAGCCATCTCATACTTACCCTTGGCATGGGGTTAGGGCGCACAGAACAGGGTGATTCATCCCAGATCATGCCCCAAGGACCTGGCAGCGGCAGCGTTTGAACAACCGGCCCCATTCTTCCTGCCTCACAGGCTCTAGATTCATTGTCATACTCTGATCCTGTTATTCCATAACTCGTGAGGGCCCAAATCCTGGGCCCTGAGCCCCTGAGATAACTTTTCTGTGTAATGATATATTCCCAAAATGCTGAGCAGTAGAAAATGACAGAAAGCTGTTTCAATGGCACTGTAAAAAGGGAAGTTGGTTTTAAAACACCTGAAAATACAGGCAGTGACGTTTTGAGAACTGAGGAATAACTGAGGTCACGAGCTGCCTGAGGAATGCTGCAGCAGCACAAACTCAGGTCACGGGAAGGGTGAGCTGTGCCCATGAAGGAACAAGAATTCAGCCAGATTTGTCTGTGGTTTTGCTCTCAATGATGAGCTGGTGGGTGAACTCTTCCCTGGAAAGCAGGAGGGAGCAGATGGCAGCAGGCAAATATCTGACTTGAGCAAGGAGAGAGAGAAACCTGTTTTCCAAAGGATCTATTTGACATACAGAAGCCAAATGTTATTTTTATGAAGCAGTATGAGCCAGACCTCTCATTTATTGAACCGTACCAGTTTGTGAACTGCCAGCAGACCTAACCTGAGTGACCCTGTGACCTATAAAGGACAAGAGAACCAGCAGGCTGGAGCAGGCATTCTGAGCAGGCTTTTCCAGGAACCTTCAGGATTCTGAATGCCACCTCACGATTTCTGGGAAGCACGACTCCCAGCTTGGTCTGCAGAAAGGTAGACAGTGCTCAAATTATATATAGCAGCAAGTGGGCTGGGAGGAGAAACACTTGGCTGCACAGAGCAGGAGGCTGCTCTAGAGAAACCCAGGGAGTGTTGTGAGGTGCAGCACAAACCACTGGCATCTGGTGAGTGGAGCTGGGCCAGTGCTGGCCTGTGGGCAGCTGGCACTAATGGAGTGAAGGAGAGCCCTGGGCAGTGCCAGGGGCACACTGGGTACACACAGATTGATCCCTTGCTCTCAGCTCTTCATCCTGTTCCATGGCCTGCCATGGGCAGGGACACCTTCCACTGTCCCAGGCTGCTCCAAGCCCTGTCCAACCTGCCCTTCAGAGTTGGGGCAGCCACAGCTTCTCTGGGAAACTTGTGCCAGGGCCTCCCCACCCTCACAGGGAAGAATTCCTTCCCAAAACCCCATCTAAAACTTCTCTCTTTCAGTTTAATGCCATTAATGACTCAGTCCATTTGTTGAGAGTCCTTTAAATAATGATGTCCACATCTCCACTGTGGCATCATTCCAGTCGATGCCAGACCTTTGCCTATTGCCCAGTATCAGCCTGTGAGCCACAGATTTCTCCAGCTCTGAATGGTTCCCTCTGTCCTCCTGTCCTACATGTATGGGCTCTTTATTCTGACCATTCCGTCAGCCCCAGGGCAGGGGTTTGGAAGGAGAAATTACCATTTCAGTGCACAACTCCCAAGCCACTGGTGTCAGGAGAGGGCTGAGCTCTGTTCTTTGAACTCTGGCTGGTCTGGCCTCTCCCAAACATTCCCAAATGTTAAAAAGATTTTGAAACCCTCTCTTGCCTCTGGGCTGGGATGATTTGTGTCAAAACAGAGCAACAAATTTTTAAACACATTACAAATTAAGGAAGTGGAAGAGTCACTGTAGTTTTCAGTTCCTCAGGACATTTTATAGAGTAAAACAAATCAGCAGTGTCTGAAAGCAGAGATTTGCTATTCCTGCCAGGCTCAGGAAACACTTCCAATAGGTACAACTACAGCTGCACCTTTCACCTTTTCTGTGGTGTCACTTTAACAGGTGACATGTCAGACATCCCCAGTGTTGAACCAGCCCCTCAGGGAGAGGAGTGTGGGGATCTCTGAGCCTGATGAGGAACTTTCAGACAGCTCAAACTGGATTTAGGGAAAAGAAGTCCAAGGCACTGTACTGTGTATCTTACCAAAAAAATCCTTCCTAAAGAGAGGGAACATGCACAAATCTCCATGTGTGCATATTCCAGGGATGCACTTGCACACAGGTGTATCTGGCATGCAAAACCGCTGAATTTTTCCATTTTCTATCTTTTTTTAGGGAAGTGGGTCTGTTCTTGCTGAGCTTTAATTTGAAAACCCAGTTGGAACTTGTTAAGTCAATAATTATTCTTGTGAATGTGGGTCAAACTATTTTATGTCTCATCATCTCTAGGGACTTGGAAGAAGATTCAATCCTCCAGCAGTCCAAGGTAGAAAGCACCACACTTCCCATTTTATTTCAAAAGTCCAAACTGATTGTCTCATGGGGGTAAAAGCTGATGAGGGACAGGGTCGTGTGAGCAAGTGGCATCACTGCAGCACCAGGTGCTCACCTACAGCTGCTGACACAGGAAAGAATGCCCCCAGCTCTGATAACATATCAGAGTGCCTTGGGATCTCATGCAATTTATTCTAAGGGCATGCTGAACATATTATTCAGTTGGGATATTGGAGGATCTATAACTTCCCACCTTCCACATCTGGACACAAATCCTACTTTCTCTTTTTAAAGCATTTGCCTTATTGGAGAAAAAAAAAAAAGCAACAATTTCTGCAGTTCTCTCTATCAGTAACTCCAGAAAATCCTTCTTCACAGCAGGAGCCATTGGCTGTGTTGAAAAATTGTATTTATCCTCCCCCTCCTCAGCCTGAGAACCCTCTACCATGAGTTACTGGTGTTCCTGCTCCACTCAGGGGCTTTTTCCAAGGATGGAAACTGCTGGAGAAACTTGACTTTATCTACCACAATTTTATTCCTGTAAACTGCTTTGTTAGGTGTAATTGAGCCTGCAGAACAGCCCACTGCTACTGGAACAACATGAACCCCTTTCTGCCTTACACCCGAGTTTTGCTGCCCGTCAGCAGTGTGAGAGTTGCCTCCAAGTGTAAATTCTATTTAAAGCCACCAAAAGCCTCTTAATGGTTACCTCCTGCTTTCCCGTGGCCTCTCAGCACTGCAGAGACACTGCAGCTGCACCCTCTGTCCCCAGATCTGCAATGGGTGAAATTTAGGGTGGCCATGTGTCACATGGGGCTGATTTGTGGGGCTGCACCCCAAAATGTTCTCTTGGCAGGAAGTCTCTGGGTGGGGTCAGCTGTGTCTGAGCACAGCCCCTGTGGCTTGGGGGGTTTGTTGGGTTTTCAGCCCTCTCTACCCAGGCTGTTGGGTGCCAGTGTTTCACAGTTATGGAATCATACAATGATTTGGGTCTTGGGAGGGACCTTAAATCTCATCCAGTTCCACCCCTGCCATGGGCAGGGGCACCTTCCACTATCTCAGGCTGCTCCAAGCCCCATCCAACCTAGCCTTGAACACTTCCAGGGCTGAGACCACTACAGCTGCTCTGGGCACCCTCTGCCAGAGCCTCCCCACCCTCACAGGAAGGAATTTCTTCCCAAGAATTCCATCCTAAGGTGTTTCTCTGTTATTCCCTTAGAAAAGCAGAGGATGGAGGAAGGGAGGGAGGGAGAGAGAAGAGGGTTTGCTTAAAGCTTTTGAGGCAGGCAGGGAGAAAATAACCAAAAAAAGACGCTTTGGTGGGGAGGGTGGGNTTCCTCGCCCCGCGGTCCTTATTTGGCTGGGAGCGGGAGCATTCCAGGGATTGGCTGTGCTGGGAAGCAGGCAGGGAGTGCAGGCACTGGAGCCGAGTGCCAGCTGACGAGCACAGCGCACGCTTGCCCACTCCTCACCATGTGTTGAGCAAATTGCAGCTATTTTTATAGGAGACGCTTTGCCTACATCTTAAGAATCCAGTCCCAATCCCGTCTCCCTCTAGTGTAATGGGAAATCCCCTTCCCAGCCCCCTTTTCCCTATTCTGTACATGTTTTCAAGGCACAGTTGGGCAGAACCCAGAGTTCTTGGCCATTATCAGGCTTCAGACTTCTCTGCTGTGCACTGCCCGGCCAGGGCACTCTGTATTCCTGTAATGATCCAGTGTTTTGTCTCCAGACCCAACATAATTGCCACGCTGGACAATACCGGCCCTTTCTGGGAATGGCAGCCGGCTGCTCCACTGCTGGGTGAGCGCAGCCCCGTTGTGCAGAGTTATTCCCGCATGGATAGACCCACCGGCCGGGGGCGATGATGCACAAAGCCGCGTCTGTGCTGCCCTTGGCTTTGCTGCTCCGTAGGGCTCCCTGCACCGTGCCAGCGGCTTTGGGAATGCCTCCGCAGGCAGGGGCCGGGCAGGGGGCTGGCGGGAGGCAGCAGGGAAACAGAGGGGGGAAAACTGTGAGGGGTGAGCAGAGAGGCAAGATCCCCAGAACTGCCCTTAGGAGCTTCAGGGCCTCCCTGAGGAGAGCAGGACGGGGCTGCTCAGGTGTGCTGCTCGTGAGGACCTTTCCAGAGGCCTGCACTCAGAGCAGCGTGGCAGTGAGCATTCCAAAATCCAAGGAGAGTTGCTGGTGTGGGAGTCATAAATACAGCACCTCGCTGGCACTAACTGGGATGCAGGTCATAAGGGAGGTTCAGCGGTTCCTTGCAAAACACTTTGTGAAGCAATCCAGTTCATTAACATGGAAAGGCACTGAAAGTTATCCCTGGAAGTATCACTGGGGTCTGGTTAAGCCAAACTCATTGAGAAAGGTTTGGGGTTTGGTTTTATTTTTTTCTTTAATTTAAAAAAATCTTATCATCACAGCCAGGAAAGGAAAGAGAAAACACCAACCATGACCAGGAAGTAATTCTGTGGGTTTAATATTTTCGTGGACTATTTGCCATGTAGGTAATAGAATTAGGTTTCCTTTTAAAAAACAAGGAACAGTTGGATGTTACCACGAGTGAACTTGTGAGACACAGCCATGTCCTGCTCGTGGCTGTGAAAGCTGAGCCAGCCCGTGAGCTGACGATCTGAGCTCTGCTCTGGGCTCAGTTTTCGTTCCAGCCAGGCTGATTCAGATCTTGGACAGCCCAAGCAGAGCCTGCTGCTGTCTATGACACCTGAGAGGGCAAGGCAAAACTACCAAAACTGCTGTTGGCTTGTGGTGTCTGGCTCCTGCACACACCCCTATTGCTCTGCTCAAAGAAAAGGTAAAAAAAAAGAGAAATGAGAATGGAAAAGCCCAAACCCCCCCCCAGCTGCCTGTGTGGGCTGTCGAATCCAAGGCTTTGATCCTCTGGTTGCACAGAAGGGAAGACACGTCGCTGCTACCTCCCACTGCTCCGGGCCAAGGTGAAGCATTCATGGCCCGACAGGGTCAGGGTGGATATGGAGTGTGTTGCTGCTGCCCTTCCGGAAGGCTCTGCGTGCACCCCAAAATAACAGCTGCCAGCCCCAAGTTTTCTAGGGGACTATGTCAGGACAGAGCTCTGCGAGCTGCACCCAGCAAATGCCTCAATGGCCTGTGTAACGCTGGCAACCAGCCTGGACTTCCCACATCTTCAGGGAAGTTCCTGGACACTGGGGACTTCCCGGCAGTGGTGGGGATGGACACCTTTTTTAACATTTTAATGTCACTTATTTCTGAGAGGGAACAGGGCAAGTGTCCCAGTGAACGAGACATAGTTTGGGGCACAGCCCAGACATGAAAGTGGCAATGCCAGGGCTCATCCAACTCCATGGAGTGCTCCAGGCAGACATGGGCAGTTCCCGGGAACCAGTGCTCACTCCTGTTCTTGGAGCATGACAGGAGCTGGGGCCTGCAGTGCAAAGGGAGCTCTTACAAAGGAGTATAAACTGCAACTGATTTATTGGAACACGGGGTTGATTCATCAGGGGATGCGATGGAGGAAAGGAAGGGTCCAAGCTTTGAGAAGCAAATTTGGGAGAGAACAGGCACCTTTTCACTCTTTTGAACACTGTAAATAATAATAATAATAATAATAATTAAAAAAAAAAGACCCAATTGCTGCCCTCCCCAGTCCCTCCCTCCCATCCCAAGGCTTGCCTTCACATCATGCTCTTCCTAAACTGCGACTGTGAGCTCTGTTTGGGCTTCGAGTCTGACTGCTGCAGCTCAAACTGTTTGTACAGGTCCCTCAGCTCTTTGATCTCCTGCAGCACCCTCTTAGCTTGGCTCCAGGTGGAGGAAGCCTCCCCCAGCAGCCTCTCAGATTCCTGCAGGATCCTTTCAGAGTCCGACTTGGAACATGATGAGGAAGAAGAGGTGGTGGTGATGGTGGTGCTGGTGTTGGAGTCCTTGGTCTTTCTTTTGCCTTCCCCGTAGCCCTTCACCTCTGTCAGCAGTTCCTGAGTTTTTTCCAGTTTCAGTGCAACCAGTTCCTGTATCCGGGACAGCTGCTCCGGTTCTGCCGAGGCAAACTGAGCCTCCAGCCCCTTCCTCAGCACCGCCCGGTGCGTGGAAGAGTCCCGTCGGGACAGGATTTCTTCCATGGAGGCACATTTATTCTTTTCTGAGTACGAGAGCTTTTTGGGGACCTGCGGTGTGTACATGGTCCCTTTGTCAAAGGAGTCATTGCGCTGCCCCACTCTATCCCATGAGGTCACCTCCTGTCGTGGGAGGCTCCCTGTCCGCCCTTTCTCCGATGGCTTGGTGTTCTCCGAGTCCGAGCGGCGCCGCCCAGCAGTGAGGTGTGCCACGGACTTGTCCAGATCCACCCGGAAACTCTCCTCGCAGGTGCCGTGATCCTCCGGAGAGGCGTCTTCCTCCTGGATCAGGTCGAGGGTCAGCATTCCATCGGAGGTTGAGGTAGATGCCTGGAGGAGCAGAAAGCAGAGCTCAGTTGGCACCAGAATGGCTGCCCCTGCTTCCAAGGGTCTCTGCACTGCGGATACATACTACAGAGAAGGAGCGGGAATGCTCCCTCTCTCAGTGACAGAGCCTCGGGGTGGCTTTTGCCAGAAGGTTTGCACAGTGCTGTGCTGATGACCCAGAGCTGTCCTTATGGCAGCTCTCAGTTCAGCATGGAGCTCCAACACCAGCTCTCCTTGCACTTACTTACAAATTGCAGGGGAATTTCACCCAAGCAGGTGTCTGGGATTGATTGTACCTACCACAGCCATGAGGTGACCCCGCGTGGGAGGGCGCCTGGAGTGCTGGATCTTGGCTCTGTCACGCGTTGGGTGGGCAAGGAAACTGTCCTCTTCCACAGTGACCTGCAGGGTGACACAGGCTGTGAGCACGGAACACCAGCCACTCCCAGCTCCTGGAGCTGTAAGCAGGAGACTGGCAGGGAACAGGGTGAGGGAGTCCAGTCTTGGAAGTGACCCAGTGTTGGCCTGTTCTCTGCCCTCTGTGCCATGATGGGATTACATCTGCTCCAATCGTTCCTGACAATTGAACCTGTTTGCAAAGACTCCTGTGACAGACTCTCCTGGAAGCCATCTCTCCTGGTGTCTGCTGTGCTGCTTCCTGCTCTAAAGCCTCCCCCATAGTCTGACCTTGGTTTTCCTTCACTACAGGCTCTGTGCTGCCTTCCAGGAGAGCAAAGAGCCTCCTGGCAGTGCCATGGCACTGTGGGAAGCTGAGTGTGAATGGGAGAGCTGAGACAGGTTTGAGCTGAGGAAGGGTTGCCATGAAACATTAATGTGAGAGTCAGGCCTGGAGCAAGGGCACAGCCTGCTCCAGCTAGGTTCTCCTTCACACTGAAGGAAACTGTGGGAATGCTCACCCTGATGTGCCTCTGCCAGCCCACCTGGCGTTCTAAGTACACCCTGTGTCCCCAGGGAGGAGGCTGAACTGGGGCTGCCCTGTTATTTTTCCTGGCAGAAGCTGCTTTGTGTAACTGGGACTTTCACACACCCCTTGAGAAGCACGAGGAGTTCTGCTGGAGACACTTTGTGTGGATGTGTCCCTAAGACAGGGCTGTTCCCAGCAATCTCAAACCTTCACCTGGGCTGAGACACGGGATTCAGCCTGAATCCTGCTCACCTCGTCCAAGATCCGGTTTTTAGCACGTGTGATCGCAGAGTTGAGGGCATTAATCCAGGACTCTTTCTCTTCTGGACTCACAGCCAGGAAGATCAGATTTGGTGCCTACAAAAGAGGGAATTCAGGTCAGTGCCAGAACTCACACAGGGACGGGCCTATGGCTCTACAGAAAAGGCAAAGCAGAACAGGGCCTCCAACCCTCTCTTCACCACACAGCAAACCCCAGGACCATTTACATCCCTCTCCTCCCTGCATCGCCCAGGACCATCCACATCCCTACCCACCCCTGGAGCCAGTGGCTCTTGGGCTGGCTGCATCTGGGCAAGCCCCACATACCGTGTTTCCAGGCTGCCTGGAGTGGGCGAGAGTAAATTTGCTGTGGTTCTTTTTGCTTCTACTTTTGGACTTCCTGAGCTCTTCACATTTCTCATAGTCACTCAGGTCAAACATTTCCTGTATGGTTTTTTCATCTTTCACCTGCAAAAGAGCAAGAAAATTAGAACTTTGCAGATGTCAGACAGAGATGCCGCTGCTCTAGCCAGCAGGTCTCTTCTGGAATGAGGGGGCATATTTAGAAGGATAGCAAGGAAATCACACTTTGCTAGGTTAATTTGCCAGGTTGAGGTGGCTCTTCCATCCCCAGAGTTACTGGCATCAGGCTGAACAGTCATACAGGTGTGATCAGACACAGCATTCCTGCTTGTGGGCCCTCAAAATGTGCAGGATTTACTTCAGCCACAAGGAGAGGGCCCTGTGTGCTGGGAGGGGGCTAGGGTGGAGGTGAGAGGTTCAGGAGAAGGTGGGCTCTCATCTCTGGTTCAAGGGGACAGTTATTCTCTGCAGACAGCAGAACAAGAGGTGGAGCAATAAGGATTAGCACTTCCTATTTTTTACCCTCTGCTGGCAGCTGGCTCTGGGGGAAGTACGGCCGGGCCCAGAGTGTGGACGTGACACTGAGCCCCAGCCCTGCAAGGGGGCTGTGGGCAGAACCCAGCACCCGGGGCAGGGGCTGCCAGGCTGTCCCGAGGCTCTCAGTGTCCTTTAAAGAGTCCTTGAGTGACCACTTTACAAGATCTTCTGTTTTCCAGGTCTGTTCCACAACACTCTGCCACAGTGCAACAGGTACATGGGGATGGATCAGTGTCACAGAGGCTCAGATTAGAGATGGAGCTTGCACAGGGTCACTGGGGCTGTGGCTGCACTGGGGGACAGGCAGAGGTCTAGGGGCACATAGGGCTCTGGATGCTGACCCCTGACGGTGCTGTCCCTCGGAGACTTGGAGCAAAGGGGAAATGGCAAAGCTGTCCCTTCCTCTTCATTGCTCTCCTAATGCACCATCCTCAATCCCACTCCTACAGCAGGGAAGCTCTGCTCTTCCATGGTAAACACGAGGAATTAGGAAACTGGGGTGGGAGATAGCTCAGGTTTGCATGTCCATTACAAACTCTGCACCAGGCTCAAATCCACATCCATCTGCTTAATCTGACTCCAGCCAGTCATCCCAGGCTGCACCAGCAGTGGAGGGTGTGTAACTCGGGTGCTGGGAAGGCAGATGGTGGTGAGGTCTGAGCCCTTGGATTTCCTGAAAGGACTCCACCCCATTTCATACATTTCCTCCACAGTTTTGGGAAGCAGTGAAGGAACTCCCCATGATTCTTCCATAGAATTTAATCAAAGAGGGTGACTAAACCAGCTTCCTAACCAGGGGCATGGATAAACTGACCATCTGGCCTTGCCTGATGACAGCAGCTCCCCTCTATCCTTTGTCCTTGTGCTCCTGAGTGTGCCCCCAGGATCCACAGGACAATCACCGGCACTGCCATCCCTGACGGCCCGAGCTGGTTCCTGCTTGTGACACGTCCCCTGTGTCTGGGTGTGATAACAGAGACTGTCTGGCTGCACATCCTCCCTACATGCTGCTAATCGGCTTTGATCTCTTCCCACTCCCATCCTACAATCCACCTCTTTCCAAGAATCTCTGCTGAATTGTGCCCGACTCATTTGCAGCAGGAAAAGCCGATCCCCCTCTGACCCCCAGCTGTGCTCTGCGGCTGAGACCAGAGCCCTTGCTCCAGATGTTTGCTCATGTGGGTCACTGGGGCTTCCCCAGCCCTTCCCTTCCTCTGCAGAGCTCACACAACCTCCTGCCTCCAGGAGTATCCCCAGGAAGCTGCAGGACAGAGCAGGTGTCTTTGTTCAGACAAACACCCTGCAGGTGCATCTCGTCCTTCAAACACCTGCAAATGACACGAGCCAGGGGACACTACACTCGGACACACTGAGGGGATCCTGCTCCTGTGTCTGACCCGTTATAAAATGCCTAAAGCTGGGAATAAGCAACATCTACAGGGGGATTCCTGGGGGAAGAGGGTCAGCAGCAGCCTGGAATAGGTGGCTGTGGTGGCACAGAAAAAACAGTGGGTGTCTCACATGGGGCATGGCCAGCTGAGCCCCCTCCCATGCTCATGTAACAGCACCCAGTGTGCAGAGAGAGAAACTGGACAGCAGGAAGGTGAAAAGCAATTCCAGAGGCACCTGCCAGCTCTTCAGAGCAGCCTTGGAGATAGGAGAGGCTGAGGACAGTCACGCAGCCTATTCTCCATGAAAACAGGACAAAAACCAGCCTGAGGAGCCACAGACTTACTGGGACCATGAGGCCAACAGAGCTGAAACCCTGGTCACTGTGTCAGTCGCAGGTGGGTGACAAACCTGCAGGGTGTCACCTCCTCCATGTTCTCAGTGAGATAGGGGCCATCCAAATCAAACTTTCCAGGCTTCTGCAAAGAGGATTTGGCTGAATGTGTCCCAGCACCCTGTCAGTGCCCAGGAGGAAGTGACCTCTGGGAGGTTTCCAGCAGGTCCCTCCTTCCCCAAAGCTGCCGAGAGCTTAAGAATTGAGGGATCTCAGAGCCTCACTGGCAGGTGGGTCCTGCTCTCCGTGCCCTGTGGGGAGCTTGGGATTGGAAGGATTAAGGTGAATCAATCCCAGCAGGTGCTGCCCTGGCTGTCTGCTGGCATTGCTGTCGGGTTGTACCCATGCGAGGCAGGCAAAACAACCGTGCCCTGGGGTTCCACTTGGCTCCTACCTGTGGCCAGGTGAGGGAAGGGAAACTGAGGCATGGAAAAGCAATCAGAAGCATCCCCCATCCCTACAGCAAGGAATATTTCTTTGCAGCCATGAGATCATGCAGCCCCGCACCCCTGGCAGCTGGCCCTGCTCGCGGTGTCACTGCCTGTGCCAAGGCTGACACTGCTCGGATCCGAGGAGAGGAGCTGCATTCCTTGCACTCCTTGCACTCCTTCCCTCACAGCTGCCGCCCGCCTGGGTTAGCCCCAGGGGCACCCAGCACTCCCTGTGCCCTGAGATGTGAGGGGCTGTGAACATGTAATGGGTCACAAGACCAGCCATGGCACCCAAATCCCTTCTCCAGAGGGTCACAGCTGTTGGTGCTTCCCAAACTCTGCTCCCATAGGAAGGCTTGTTGCAGCGCGCTGGCAGCATAGGGTCTCTGACCTGGGTTAATTTACCACCCTTGGGTGTCTCACTGATGAGAGTCTGAATTTCTCACCAAGCTGTGACCTGTAGTGACTCTGAACCTCCTGGACCCACGTCAGGGCTGTGTTTTGGGGCCAAACCGCACATGGAAGGGCAGGGCAGGTGCTCAGTCACAGCAGTCTGGGATTTTTGGTGACAATTTGCTTGATCAGTTCCCTGCTGCACTGGGACACAGAAAAATGCGGAAGGTAAAGAAAATCACAAGACCCAGTGTGAGGCACCCACGGGACACTCGGGAGGCCACAGTGCGGCTCAGGATGTAACCAGAAACCTCCAGATCCTCAGTGCAGCCAAATACCCAAACATGGGCAGTTTTGGGACAGACAGTTCCCCTTGTAGGCTGCGACCAAAGTTTCACTTCCTCCAGCTGAGCAGCTCTACTTCAACAAGGGACGGAGCTGCCTGCAGACCTGGCTGAAGCCAGGCTGTCACCGGGACAGGGATGCACATGGCTGTGAGCAGGACTGTCCAGTCCTTGTCGTGGCCAGGTCGCTGCCCTTAGCTGGTGAGGGGATGGTGGCAGGACGTGGCAGGGACACCTTCCACCAGCCCAGATTGCTCCAAGCCCCATCCAACCTGGACTTGGACACTTCCAGGGATGGGGCAGCCACAGCTTCTCTGGGCGCCCTGTGCCAGGGCCTCCCCACGCTCACAGGGAGGAATTTCTTCTCAAAATCCCAATGTACTGAGTCCAGCGGCGCTCACTGAGGGCAAACGCCCCAGGGAGCATTAGAGAACCGAGTATGCGAACACACCCCCAGCCCCTCGCCGGCCGTGCCGAGCTGGAACCGAGGAGCGGCACCTCCTCGAGTGCTCTTGTGCTAATTGAGCCAATGCCTTTGGTAGCAAACAAGGGAATGCTCGAGAGAAGCGTTTCCTCATCGCCCTCGGCAGCCGGGCTCGAGCTGCCTGGCAGCCCCCGGCTTCCTGCGAGGAAGTGCCGAGCCCGAGCCCAGCTGTGTCAGCTCGGCCGCTGCTCCCCGGCGCAGGCAGGGACAAAGCTGGGTCAGGAACAGGGAACAATTCCCAGAAATGTACCGCGGGGAGGAACCGTCGTGAGGAGAGCGAGGGGAAAGAATGCAAGAGTGAGCTGAGAAGGTGGCAGTGTGCTCAGCAGAGCTCAGCCTGCTGCACCTCATCTCTACAGGGCTGGTTCTGGCCGATGACCAAACGCTGAATAACCAAGGATTTTGGTGTGAGTTCATGGAGTTCAGCAGCCGTGGGGGAGCAGAGTGAGCACGGCCAGAGCCTCAAGCTCCCATTTCGGGAGGTGTCAGACAAGTCCCACAGCTTTCAAAGGGCAGCACTCAAACACCCTGTTAGCATTTTCCATCAGCTGGGCTGCAAAATTACATTTCCTCTCCTTACAGACTTGGCTCTGCCAGGAAGAAGCCCAGGCTTCTATCAGACATTCCCAAATTCTCCCGACAAAACTGAATAATCAGGGCTGGTTTCTGACCTGCAAGCCCTGTCCTAGACAGAGAACAGGAAAAGTACACAAATTCCCAGGAGGAATCGGCGTGAATATTGATGGCATTTTGTTAATCTGAATTGTGGAAATCTCCCCACTGCAGACCTCAGCCCATGCTCAGCTCCAAGCTCTGAGAATGGTCTCTTTGTGCAGCATCAACACCTGCCCCAGCCAACATACTTCCCGAGGGATCCCGGTGTGGAACAGACAATTCCCCTTCCCCATGGGCTTTGGGGAGATGGGATTCATTGCCCTGCTTCCCAAATGGAGAAATTCAGGAAAAAGTAAATAAATGTCTGGATTGAATCCATTTAATGAGCATGTGGCAGAGCCAAGGAGCTTCCAGGAACCTTAGGATTTAACCCTTTCTGCTCCGAGATGGTGGGGAGGGCTGGGAATGTCAATTCACCTGCAGAACCACCTCTGGAGCAGCCATGGAACATGAGATGAGCTGCCAGGAAACAGCAGGTGCTCTGGAAGCAGAGCTTGGACCTACACATGGGCCTTCCCTGAGGCCCAGGAGGGCTCCTGGCTTTGCTGAGTGCTGGTGCTCTGGTTGGCATCAAACCCTGTGAGCAGGAAGTCTTGGGACACCCCCCAGGAGCCCCTCGGGATTCCCTACAGGACCCCCAGGATGCCAGACCCCTGACATGGCTTGTTCCACAGGCACAGAGTCACCTTAGCACACACCAGCAGCACATGTCACCTCCATGGCCAGCAGGGAGTCACCTCTGCACACCAGCACCAGATGTCATCTGTGACCACATCTCTGCTGGCCACACAGATTCTTCCATATAAAGCCTCAGCAGCGGCTGCCGCGTGTTATTTATGGTCCCTCACACACACGTGGAGCCCGGGGGCCGCCTCAGGCCCAGCTGTGAGTTTTTCCCCCTACGAAATGCAAACACGAGAGCTTCTTGTTCAGAACAGGCTCCTCCAGCCTCATCCCTCTCCGGTGCTCCCAGCACAGCTGGATTTGATCTGTAGCTACCTGGACATCTATTGCCTGTTCCTGTTTGTCTCTGGAGCAGCCAGATTGATGGGAGCATGCTCTAGAATGCCAGCAAGCAGCTCAGCACAACCTGGGCATTCAGTCCACTTTTAGGCCGTTTCTCTGTTATAAAAAGCCCTGACCCTCTGCCTGTGCCGTGTCCACATGTCCTTAAATCAAATTGTCCCTTGCTCTCTCCAGGTGCTGAGAGCCAGGCCAGGCAGACCAACCACCATCTGTGAGGAAATTACCTCCACTGAGGTGGAGGAAAGCCAGAGAGAACAGGATTTTATCCCCAAGTCCCTGAGTTGGAGCAACCGGCATGCCTGATGTGGGCATCACTGCCTGGTGAAGCTCTGGGATGTCACAGGGGATAGAGGCTCTGGCCTGGGGAGTTCTACCTGATGGATTTATGGAGACAAAAAGCACAGGGGGGGCGTGCAAGGACAGCCAGGTGCTGGCTCAGCCGGGCAGTCACATCCGATTACGTCCAGTGGCAACATCACGTTAAGCCTCAGCACCCAGCAAGGAGATGAGGGGCAGCGGAGGGGGCACGTGTTACAACACGATGTCGATCCGGGGTAAAATTTCCCCGTTTTCCTCTTGACATGGGGGAAAAAATGCAAGAGATCGACCTGTAAATGGCTCGATTTCAGTTGGGAGAGTGGAGTTATTTCCAAATAGAGAGTGAGCAGGTGGAAACAAGGCAGTGTTGGGCTCAAGGACACAGGATAGGCACAGAAGGGAGCCGGCATTGCTGTCGCCGCGGCCGAAAGAGGTTTGAGGGCTTAACTCTCGCTAAGTGAATCCTTTCGCGTGTCCACGCTGGGAAAATGTCGCCCAGCAGCGCTGTCTGGGAAAATCGCTGTCAGAGCCGACCCCGACCCCGACCCCAGCCGGGTCCCGCCGGCGCCAGCCCGGGGAGAGGAGAAGCCCCCGAGGAACCTCCTGGGCCCGGCTGGCGCTGCGAAGGGCCGGGGCTGCGCCTTTCATATGCAAAGGGAGGAAGGGGGGATGGGAAAGGAAACTGAAACCGATCCTACCTCCTTCTCCGAGATGTAAAGCTGATCTCCCTTCAGAACCACATAACGGTTTTTCCAGATTTCCCTAAAAATGCCTTTTCCGCAAAATTTCCGCACCCAGCCGACCTTCTCTGGCTGCACAGGTTGCTGGTTTCCATCCTGTTGCCCCTAACACAAAGCGAGAGGGAAGAAAATGGGGGAAAACGGGATTATTCTTGGTTTTACACTCCTTTTCTCCCCCTTCCCTCTTTGCCCAACTTTTGTCTCCCCCGCCTCCGGCCCCTCTCTCCGCTGACGCCGGGACCGAGTCCCTTCCCCGGGGTCACTCCACGGGGATTTTTGTGCTGCAGACACGAAGCGACAGTAGCAGCATCGGGAGGACGCTGCGAGGAGCGGGCAGGGTTCCCTCCGCGGTTATATAAGACAGGCCGGTGTCTCTATCGCCTCATCCAACGGGCATTTATCCATGGAAAGGGGAACAGGAGGGGGATGGGCGGAATTTAAACCAACTGGGTTATTTTACCGCCATGAAAATTGCATTTTGGAGCTTTTCATGAGCAATTAATGCAAGAGGTGAAATCTACGGTTGGTTTCTATCAGAGGTGTCTCCGTAGGCAGCGATGGGATCGCTGGGTGCAGCACACAACACGCAAAGAGCGACGGATTGATGGTGCCTCCGGATTTTATCGTTTCCTTGTGTTCCAAGATGAAAACTGCCTGCCTACATCATCCAGTGTCTGTGGCGGCTGCGGGAGGCAGGAGCGGCGCTGGGCAGGGCCGGGCGCAGGGTTTGGGTCTCTCCGGGTCTGCCTGGGGGTCTGTGCGCTTATTGCGGGGGGGAGCAGAGGCGAAGCGAACAACCGGCCCCGGAGAGACAAGCCCCCCTCCCCAAAACATCCAGGAGCCTCCCTCACCCCGCCTTGCCCCGGTGAAGAACCGATTCTCTACTCACCCTTTTTGCAGAATTGTTTTTTTTCATCGTTCCTTGGTGCGCTCGGAGGCGATTTGGGG